AGGGCTACCAACTCGTCGAGTAGCTCTTATAAAATGAACATTTAGAGAATTACTTTCGTACCAGGAATGAGGCGTTACAATAGATGTGCACATCAAAACCGAATGTCTGATTTGGGCTCGGGATCAACCCAAAACTGGTTACGGCTTGGTGTAGTTTGTGGGGGGAGTGGTTCTATTTCATCTTGACCGACCGCTTTGAACCGGTGGAACATTGTCGTTAGAAACAATTTAGGAACCAGTTTGCTCAATCCAAGTTCGTCTCAGAGGGTGGACGATAGGGTCGACCATCCATACCCCATCTTTTAAAGGTGCCCAAAATTTGTAGAAGCTAGTATAAGTAATTTTCTTTCCATTATTGAGTTATTATAAAAAACTTGATTAAATTTGTGTATTTTAAGAGCCGTTTTTTCCTCTCGCCCCGGAGCCTAAAATATGTTTGGAGTGACCCTGGCTGAGTCTAACTAAGGAAATAGATTCACAATTTGTTTAGTGTGTATTGCTAATTGTGTTTTGTATTCATATAAAAGTAATAAGCATTGGGCCATCTAAGATCAATCTTTATCTTTTACAACTTTATCCATCTATGCTGTGTATAAATATGGGTGTTTTAATGTAGTTTCAACACATTTCATAAAAGCGTTTTCTAATATCGTATTTTCGACATATTTAGGCTCCTTTTTATTTATAGAACAATATTTTTTGTTTTTTATTTGCGGTTCTCAGAAAAATAAAATGAGTTTTCATTTTAAGTTCCAATTAAAATTGAATGACTTTTCATTTTCTGTTTTAAAAAATTATAAAACATATTTGGGTGTATATTTTCGATCAAATTTTATTTTCTAATTTTTGTTAAATGTTTGGGGTGGGTGAATGGGGTGAAATGTGGGGTATGGTGGAGTGGGGTCGGTGTGGATGGGTAGGAGTAGGGGTGGGTGGGTATGGTGTGGGATGAGGATGAGTATATGTGTTTTAGAAAATTATAGAGAATAATTTATTTCACAAAAGCCATTATATTTACAACCTTTTTAGCCCCAATTTTATTTTTTGTTCCTCATTTGCCATTATATTTTAGAAAATGTTTTGTTTTCGGGTCATTGGTCGCTCATCAACAGGTCATGATGACGATTCGGTTTCGTATTTTTCACAGTTTGCAGTTAGCCCCGACATTTAAGTATGAGTTTGCATTTACCCCCAACATTTACGTATGAGTTTGCACTTAGACCCAACATTTTTTTTGTTCCTCATTTGCCATTATTTTTTAGAAAAAATTTCATTTTAGCCATTGTCCAGTCACGATTAAGTATTTTAAAACGTAACAACTTAAAAAGAAAAAAAAGGAAAATACGAAGGCAAGAGTCGACTTCTCTTTGAGGGGTGGGGTGTGTTAGCTACTAAGTCAATGATTTTTTTTTGTATTATCAGTGTTTGTTGTATTTAATGTACACATGTATTTTAAAATGATGGAAAAGACCTAGTGTAAGTCATGAGTTCGTGACATCTAATAAACAATATGACATTTTAATCTTTGAGTCAATCAAAATAGTTAATTCATTCATAACTCATCTAAGAAACAATTGACTATTTTTAATGACATATTTGTTAAGAAACCAAATACTTCTAAAGAGTCAAAACTGTGACTTCTCATGGAAGGGCAAGGCGTGTTAGCTAGTAAGTTAGTGACTCTTTTTTTTGTATTATTAGTGTTTGTTGTGATTAATGTACAAATGTATTTAAATTGAAGGAAAAAGACCTAGTGTAAGTCTTGAGTCTGTGACATCTAATAAACATTATGACATGTTAATCTTAAGCAAATCAAAATTGTTAATTTATTTGTAACTCATCTAAGAAACAATTGGTTATTTTTGATGACATATTTGTTGAGAAACCAAATATTTCTAATGACATATTTATTGAGAAACCAAAGAAATGATAAATTTTATCGGCTCAAAGATTAACATATCACATCGTTTATTAGATGTCTCAAACTCGAGACTTGCACTAGATTTTTTTTTTCATTTTAAAATACATGTGTATTTTAAATACAACAAACACTGATAATAAAAAAAAAAGAGTCATTGGCTTACTAGCTAACACGCCCCACCCTCAAGGAGAAGTCATAGTTTCGACTCCTGCCTTTGATTTTTCTTTTTTATTTTAAGTTATTACGTTTCAAATACATATTCATAACTGACCAATGGCTAAAATGATTTTTTTCTAAAAAATAATGGCAAATGTAGAACAAAAAAATATTGGGGCTAAATGCAAACTCATACGTAAATGTTGGGGCTAAATGTAAACTGTAAAAAATACGAAACCAACACATCATCATGACCTGTTGGTCACCGGCCAAGGGGCCAAAAATAAAATGTTTTCTAAAATATAATGGCAAATAAGAAAAATGAAAAATAAAGTTGGAGCTAAAATAGAATGAGGTTGTAAATATAATGGCTTTTATGGAATAAAACCTTGTAGAGAACAATATTTATTGGTTTTTCTAATTATTGGTTTTTCTAAGTTTTTTGTATTTTGGAAAAAGAAATTTTTTTATTTTCTTTGAAAAATTTTGAAAAAAAAAGGTTAACTAAATAAGTTTTCAAGATTTTTATTTTGCTTTTTGGATAGACCTATTTCTTCGTAAGTAAACAGTGACTTAGTGTTCTAATGTTTTGCTTTTTTTACTTTATAGTCCAAGAATATAAATAAGGGTAATCACCTTTTTTGGAATGTAATTATTTCTTTTGTTTTCAAAGTTTTTCAGCAAACATATTTTGATAACCAAATCATGTTCTCTATATGTTTTACTTGTTATCTTGGAATATCAAACGGTTAAAACATATTTTCAATTTTATATTTTTGGTTAAGATTTTAAATTTTGTTACGAATTTGTTCCGAGCTTTAAATTTTACTACGGATTTGTCCTAGATATAGTTCAATTTACAAACTATCCTTCTTAACAAACTTCAAAGACTTTTCAAAGATCTTTTACAACCTTTTTAACGGAAATTTTCTTAATTTTTTATAGGTTCTTTTAAATTCTTTTACGGCATCTTTACAATTTTTTATAGAAATGTTTACTACTTGTTAACCTGACTTACAAAAAAAAAAAAAATACAATTGCTTTATATTTTCTTACAACGTTTAAAACTTGAGTTATATTTTTTTTACACTTTTATACAATTTTAATACACCTTTTTTAAACAAAAATATTTTGTAAATGTATTAAAAACATTACAACTTTTTTATATGTTTAACTAAATGTTTATAACTTTTGTAGATTAATACAATATTTTTAACTTGTTTTACTTTTTTTTTTAAACTTTGTTTACACTGTTATACAACTTATCTTCAATGAAAGTATTTCTAAATATTATAAAAAAGTTATAAATTTTTTTTATACAACAATTTTAAAATGTTGTAATTTTTTTAGAAAAAGTTGTTTGAAAGTTATAAAAATTTGTATGAAAAAAAGAAAAAAAAAAGCTGTAAAAGAATTTTAAAACATTCACAGAATACTTGGTTTAAAACCAGTTTTTTGAAAAGTGTATGAAAATGCAAAAAAGGTTAAAACATTTTAATTCAACTTTAAAACATTGTGTAAAAATGTAAAACAACTTTATAATTTTTTTATAAATAATTATAACAGTTAGATAGTAAAATTTTCTATAAAAATATTGTAAAATAATTTTAAAAAACTTATAAAAGAATTAAGAAAAAAAATGTAAAAAAGGTTGTAAAAATTCTTAAAAAATATTTAAAAAGCTGTAAAAAAATAATTTGTAAATTAAATAAATTTGTGATGATTTGGTAATAAAAAGTAATGTTTGGATCAAACTCATAATAAAATTTGAATAAAGGGCGAAAAGTATATTACTTTGCAAGATAACCTTATAAATAAGTATTCAGTTGGAGTAGGTAAAAAATTGTAACTATCTATTTTTTTACTAGTTGGTTTCAGAAAAAAAAAAAAAAAAAAAAAAAAAAAACAATTTGGTTTACATGGCTTGCCTAGAAGTTGTTACCTAGGAGGCTAGGACTAAATGTAACGGGTATATATTTTGTGATCAGGCCCGGTTTTATTTTGGCCCATTTTGTTACCAAACGCGTGGTAGCGGAGAACCGGTTTATGCAAGGTTCATAGCCGGATTTCAAGCACATCTAGATGTTGCTATCACTTTTGGTATTTTGATGATTTGCTAGTAGTCTAGTACGACAGGTTGATGGACAAATGGACATAGATAAAAAAAAAAAAACTTTTAATCGAAAACGATAATATATATGGCCTTATACAACGACATGAATTTAAAGACATGCATGATCTCCCATGCATGGCGCATAACACCATGCATGTACATGTATGCATTGAGAGCCAATACCTAATGCAGCCAGCATGCATGCATCTCAAGAAACCATTTCTACATCCATAGATTTCATCATACTACGCTGAATTAAAGCTCCATAAAAGTGAGAAAGATCTTCAAAAATTCCAGATAGTGGTCGGCAAAACAAGTTCCTGATCATGATCATGAACATCAAAAATCTGATTATTATAATCATCATGAGATCCACGTATCTCACTTAACACATCCCAGTTGAAATCTTCCTCTCCCAAATCTGATTCTTCGACAACTGCTTTTGAAGACGATGACAATTCAATCTCCTTAAATCCACAATAACTTTCGTCACTAGTAACTTTATCCGTTTGCTCATCTTTTTTCAGCACTCCGAGTTGCTGAAGGAACTCATTGAGATCGATCTGAGGCTTCTGGACGCTTTCTTTGAGATGGGTTTTAGAATTCTCGCTAGTAACTTGAACTTGATCATGGCTGATCTGATCAACAATCGAAGAACTGTTGGAGCTGGATGAAGAAGACGACGATACCTGAGTTCTCTTCAGTTCTTCAAGTCTCTGATGGATTACATGAACACTCGGTTGCGCATTAATATTAAGCAAACCAGTTGCTGGAAAGATAGACATGAACTTGTTGGAAGAAAACCATCTGAATTTGTGTGATTTGTTAAGAGGATTGAAGTTGGATCGAAGATGGGGTAAGTTGAGGTAAGCATCAGGACCATAAAGTCTTCTGGCAGCTTCATCGTAAGCCATGGCAGCTTCTTCCGCTGTAGCAAAAGAACCCAACCATAGTCTGGTTCGTTTCTTGGGTTCTCTGATTTCCGCCACCCATTTGCCCCAAGTTCTTTGACGGACGCCGCGGAACTCACAGGCGGCGTTCTGGGGTCCGCCTTTGCCTCTGGTGGGGCCTTTCTTCCATGGTTTGAAGGGAGCTGTTGTTCGACGGCAGTTGTCCATGGTGGTTAATTTGAATGAAGAAGGAGATCGGAGGTGAGTGAAGTGAGATGATGGGAGTGAAAGGGCGCGGGGGTTATTATGTATAGAGATTGGAGTGTGAGTGTTGTTGGCTCTTTGGCTCTTGGGGCTTAAATGTTATCACGTTTCACAAAGCTGTTTTTTTTTTTTTTTTTTTTTTTTTTTTTTTTTTTTTTTTTTTTTGCTTTTTGAAGCCCATGTGACCGTTGGATTTAGTAGCCTGTTGTTTCACTATACCAACTTCCTAGCCCAAAAATACTACTAATCCTTTTTTGCTTTAATTTATGGGCAGTATGTATACATAAAAGTTATATTTTGATTTTAAATGCGATTCGATTTCTATATTTTATTTCAGTAAATAAAATTCATTATCGTAATACCTTATTTCCAATTTAACAACTGTTAAAACTAACATGATTTTTTAGTTACCTATATGACATGGTATCTAACTATCTACCATATGCATTAGTATATTGTTTATTAAATGATTCCTCATTTACGAGTTCAACATGTTATACACATATCATTATGTATGTAGATGAAAAATCTAGAACACTATTTTGTGAAGTACATATACTGCCAAACAAGTTAATGAAAAATTATGTCAGTTTAACACCTCTTAAACCGGAATTAATTGGTTAATAAGAAATAAAATGGTTGATTAAAATAGAACATAAAAGTCGTTATTAATTTATGGTGTCACGCCAAATTATTCTTTAATGGTAAGTTTAATAATATATTTAAAAATAATGTTTTTTCTTCTATCTAATTACATATATACTCTCGCTCCTCGAGTCGGCAACAATAAGATTATTAAACTCACAAATAAAATATTTAATTTCCTTGATTGTTACATTTGTATATCAGGTTATCCACTTGGATTGTTTTTGTTCCTAGCATGTGATTAAACATTTACCGATTATAATATTTCAATTAATATACATAAATCAACCTAAATTCAACATGCATAATGCATTGAACTACAACTTTCAACATTTTTACTCCCAACTAAAAAATGGTATCAAATGGAACATGAATTCATTCTTTTTGATCTTTCGTCTCTGTACGAAAAATAAAAATTTATTGTGTTCATTTTTGGGAACCTCAAGGGCATGTCTAGGACTTGAATGAAGTTAGGCAAGTAGTTAACTAATTTGTCTTGTATGAATGAATGCATACTCACTCAGTTGTGTCATTGGATACTCTACTTGTGGACTTCATTCTGTATCTAACACACACTACACACACTATGTATATCTATCTATATATCGAGAGAATAATATGTATATATGATGTAGAAGAAGCACCTCAAAACATTGGAAAGAATCACGAGCTGTAGTCATTCACATGTTCCCCTGACCACTCACGGTTTCAATCCCAATCCACATCACTTTTTTCCCATGCATTTCCATGCACAAATTAAATTAACTAACATTACCATTTTTTTTTTTACCAATTAATACTCCCCTAAAATAAACTATTCAAGTGGATCTATAGATCACATGTCTCATCATATTTACATCATACAACACAATCTTTCTCAACAAACAAAAAAGACCCAAAAAAATATTTACATCTAGTCTTCTAGCAACCCCTTTTACAGTTTTTGCTTCTTCTTGGGAGGGCTTCCTTTGCATAAGTTTCTCCATTTATCTTTTAAGTCAATTGTAGTACGACTTTTGTGGAACACATCACCTCCAAAATCCAAAATATCCCTCCATGGAAATCCTTTACTATTATTATTACTCGAAAATCTCTGCACCCCTTCCTGATAAAAAAAAATTTAAAAATCACATCAACTAAATAAACTCTGTAAAAAGGCTATAATATGCCTTTTTTAATAAAAATAAATAAATAAATAACTCTCAAGAACCTTTAATATCTCCACCTCTGACATTGTCCATTGGAGTTTGTTTCTTCGTACTAAAGGAATTGTTGGAGATGTGCTACAAATTAGAATCAAAATTCATAAAAGTCAACCACAAAGTCAATCTACAAAATAGTAAAGTAGGTTTTTGCTCATTTCTTGCAATTTTTGGAGGTGAAAAACTTACTACTGTGGTTTTTGGTCACGGCATCTTCTTGAGTGAGTTTTTGACACATGGCTTTCATTTTCATTGCATTTCTGTTTATGCTCATTTGGTGTGTGATCTTCTGTATCTCTCCTCACAGTATGCCCATTGACATTCCCTTTGACTTTTTGACCCAGAGCTTCAGTTTGTGTTGACTTATTTGGTCTATGTTTGACTCCTGAACTCATAAAGGCTTGTAAGTCTTTTCTAGCCAAGGAAGCTTTTTTCTTAGCTTCAAGATACGTTGATATTGCATGAGAATATGCACAAAATGGGCATAAAAACTTTCCATTTTTGTCAAGTGTGGTAGTAGTAGTAGATCCCAAACAGCTCTCGTGAACTCTTAACTGACAGGTGTCAGAACTACAAACTAACAGCTCACCACCTTTGTTACACTTCATACAAAGAGTTATTTCAGTGGAGTCAATTGTAGCCATGGAATCTTGACTGAGTGTATGTTGAGAGTTCAAGAAAGCTTCTTTCATGGCAGCAATGTTAGTCATTTCATCATCACATTTCTCATCGGTCAACTCTTGTTGACCATGGTCAATATTCAGATCATCACAATTCTGTTCAAGATTCTTTGATGGAGTCTGCTCATTGTGATCCATCACCATGTTTTCCTCTAAGCCTTTCACAGGGGAGTCTTTAGGCATTTCATTCTCTTTTCTTTTATTATGATCTGTATTTTTTCCTCTAGTGGAATTGTCTACATTGTCAGGCTTCTGCAACGGGCTTTTTGGTAATTTGTTGCTTTCATTTGCAGGATTCATTGATGCCAAATCATCTTTAGATACTGTAGTTTGGTCATTAAAATTGACATTGACCTCAGGGAATGTATTTTGACTACTTTCAGGTAGATTTATGTTTTCTAAATAACTCCTCTCTTTCAATGATGCAAGAAGCGGATGACTGCCTTCAAGAATTTCTTCTTTAAGCTGTTTAATTATACAAAATATAAATTTTTTGATAATTTATGAAAATATGCACAAAAGAAGAAACTATTTCTGACCTTTTCCAAGGGGCTTTTGGGGAGAGAAGCCCTTTTATGCATTACGAAAGGATGAACATTCCATTTTTGCCTTTCTAACTCTGTCATCGGTTCAGATGTCTGTTACATTTATGATATGATAAAATAAGTTGAATATATAGTTTCCAAGAGAAATTATTTTATTAGACTTGTTTTTACTTTTCTGAAAAATAGTCACATTACCTCCTCTAATATCCTGTGCAATACATCTTCACATTGCTCTGATGGATCCAAAGAGATTTTAGCATTTTGAGTAGAATGAGTATCAATTGTAGCTTCATTACCATGAATAAACATGCTCTCTAACATTCTCAAGGAGACAATCTCCCTTGAATCTTTTCCTAAATCATCAGAAATTGCAAGAGCCTTTTTTACCACACCTAAAACATTGAAGTATGACTATTATACTAAATCCATTTTTTTGGATGAATATATTACAGGAGAAGTTTAAAGAACATATGGAAGGAGATAAAAAACATACCAATTAAAGTAGATGGATCCACTTGCTTAAACATTGCAAGGGATTGAACAACCCAATTCCATGCCATTACTGATGCAATTGAAGACTTGGTGGACATGAAAATCACTGTTCCAAAGTTTCAATGGTCAGACAGAATAATGGTTAGGTCATCTGTGTTCTTGCTCTATGATTAGATGACTGAATTCTACACCATAACTGCAAAAGTTTCCCCAAACATATAAAAGTTGGATTAATTCAGAGTTCATCTTGGTCCATTAAGGTAACAAATTCATGTTTACATGAATTCTTTTACATGTATATCACTATTTTGCCTACTTGTTGAGCTTGTTTTATACATTAAGGTAACAGAATTTCTTGGATAGTCATTCATTCAGTATGGGGTCTAATTGTTTTGGGGCATATATGAAGTAATAATTAACAGTTAAAAAAAATCCATTCTGCTGGAACAATCATTGCAAGGCAAAAAAGATAGATGATTCACATAAATCGTCAACAATTTACAAAAGTTGCTTCCAATATATATCGAAAACAATAATGCGATCCTATAATCATCAAACAAAACCCTAGGCGAGCTAATCCTAATCAACAACATGTAACTTACAGAAAAGTGTTGCGCAGGAACAATTTAGCAAAACAAAAGCAAATAGCACATGAAGCCATACAGAAATCATATAAATCTAACAAAAACATGAATTCGATTCTAAAACTAATAAGATAAAAGAATAATGGAGCAATTGCAGGGAATATCGATAGGGTTAGAAATGTAACCTATTTTGCATCGGAGACTATTGAAAGATAAGATACCCCCACAGTCAAGAAACCATCATCCAAAGGTTTATTCTTTCTGGTAGTGTAACGAAGGAAGATCGAGAATTTAGGGTTGCGACTAGGAAGCGAACAGTGAATACAGACAGGAGATGCTTCTGTTGTAAGCCTTCAGGATTTTAAACATTCTCGTTTTTATTGGGCGTTTCCAAGTTCAAACCAGAGCAAACATCAAAATACTAGTACTTGTTTTGTTGACATTTTGTTCCGATCCAGTCAAATATTGAAAACATAAACAGAAAAGAGAAATTAAATACATTTTTTCTTATTTATCTTTTTGACCCTATGCCTTATAAAATTGTGACATTTGTTTTATTTTGTATAAGATTAATAATATTTTAATATATTTGTTATAAGATGATTAGAAAGATATATAAAAACAAAAGTATAAGAATGTGTAATTTCTGTCTGACCCTACTTAAGCATGCATATTATGTCAGTGAAGACTTGGTGTGAAGCCTTGGAGCTTACGTTAGAAGAGCAAAAGGCAGGGGGCTAGGTTGAGCTGAGGGGGGACAACGTAAGTGAGCGAATGTGTGTAAGCCCAGTCAAACATAAGAAAGCACTGTACCGGGGAAACAAAATCTTTCTAGTTCTGCTAGCCTCTTACTTAAGCTGTGAAAAAAGAATTGCTAGTGAAAGTGTTCTTTTTTTAGTCACCGATAAAGAAAGTATCTCAGCTTACCAGATTTGTAAAAAAAGGAAAATATACATTTCAAATTTTAATAAAAAAATATTGAAATCTTTTATTTTATTTTATTATATAATATAAAGAGTTACCGGCACCAAAACTCTATAAGCTCTTGTGTTTAAATCATGGTTGTTAAAATCGTGATCTTGATCGAATGTCCGTACGATCTTACAATCTCACCTACGTAAATCGATTCGGATCTTACTTAGATTGTTTTTCGGTAGGATTGTCGAAAGATCATAGGATCGTTAATATATATATATATATATATATATATATATATATATATATATATATATATATATAAATCAAAGATTTTTTTGGACTAACTACATAGAATACCCATTTTAAATTTTTTATCGTAAAATAACGTATTAAAATGTATTTTTTATGTTTTAAAATATTTATTGTTAACTGGATGGTTAATTGATGGGTGAATATTTATTTTTTATGTTTTAAAATGCTTTTGGTGCGATCCTATGATCCAATTCAATCTGACGATGTAACAACGTAAAAAAAAATTTCAACCAAAAATTTCATTTCAAACATAAAAATCACATGTTATATTTCCCAAAAATCTCAATTATCCACATTAATACAATTTTGTTATCAAAAGTTGTTTATCACATAAACCAGGATCCTCCAAAGTATATCTCCAAAACGAGTGTGTGTACAATCAAGTCGGGGCCTTCCCGCGATCATCGGAAGTACCTGAAACACATAACACTTAACACGGTAAACACGAATCTTAGTGAGTTCCCCAAAATACCACATACAACAAATTAGCCACTCGAGGCTATAACTCTGTAAGACCCTCTGGTCAATGTGTCTAGTGGGACCCTCCAGTCTCACAACTCTGATGGACCTTCCGGTCCTAACTCTGTGGACCCTTCGGTCCTAACTCTGTAAACTCTAAATAACACATAGCATAAATCACACAGACATAATGCAGTAATATCACAGTACTCAAATAAACATATAAGACCCTCTGGTCACAGATACATACAACTCTAGGTAAAGTATAGTGAGAAGACTCACCTCGTAAGCTAGTAAGTAAAAGTCTCGTGCTCGGAATCCTCGATCTAGCCTCTGCCTATCACAAGGATAATATCTCTAATTAATTATCTCCATATACTCAATTACACCAAACGTTGCTCTCTCTTACACACTAGTCTTAGA